GATCACTAAAGGCACAGTGTTCCAGCTAATGGAACACCCAGTTTTATTCAATGATTCTGCATATGGTTTTTGTATGAAAGATTTAAAAAAATATATAGCCACAAAATTATGCCTATTTTCTCCAAATAAAATTTTTATATCATTAAAAAAATAGAGAAAATTACTTGAAAAAAATGGATTTTAATAACACATAATAAATTAAAATTATGTGTCTCCTTGTGATATGCTGCTATCTACGGTTTAAAAAAAAAGAAAAGTTCAAAGTATATTATAAAGGCATTTTTATCTATGTACGGTTGAATTTAAAGGTTTCAGAAGCGATTCAATTTGGGTGTTTCATGTAGTGGAACACTGAGCCGCAAAGGGTTAAAATACTACAAAACAACTTATCACCCCTTTTGCTTTAGTAGCTTATTGGAGTCTTAAAGAATATTAACTGGGTTACAACCCCTGGAACTCTACACGAAGCTAGGACACTAACTGCGTCGAACAGAGCCGAACTAACTTCAAAACTTGTAAAACCGTGCCTACATCAGGCCTTTCAGGTTTGTTCTACTTTGCAGGTCTCTCTCTAGGCAAGCAGCAGGGGTGACAACATCCAGTCTTTTATAATGAATCATGCTGATTATGATCTTACTTTTCATTTTAACCTATAATGCTCAACATAAAATCTACCTGCTATTTACTAAACTTCTAGACTAAGCAAGTATGTGACAAAATGCGACCTCCCCCCAAAAAAAATAATAAATAAAGCTAACTGCTAGTAAAACATAAATAAAATGTCACTTATCTTTCAGATATGTCCGACAATTATGAGTCAAATATTTATAAATTTCATAAAGTATTTTATTCTCAAACTTACTAATATTTATGTTAATTCATGTTTAATAATAATGCATCCTACTTACGGATCTATTTTATTTTTAGAATGGTATTACAAAAATGAAGTTCAGGCGTAGATAAAAATTTTAATTGAATTTATTCAGTTCCCATTTGCTCATAGGTCCTTAATTTTTTTCATTAATGGTCTTTAAAAGTACTTAGTGTGCAGAAATGTGTATGAACCCTGCATGCACATCCTTGTGCAAGTTCAACTTTCTTAAACCTGTATGCAGAACTTTTCATTGGGTTTTTTCAGCTCCAGCATTTCCTTTCTATAAATTAAATGTAGTCATTTTCGAACACAAAATCAAAATTATGAGCAAGAAATGGTCCATATTTAGTGTATTAGGTGAAGCTGAAAATGATGGTGATTGGGAAATAGTAAACAGCAGTGTTGAAATAAGTGACAATGAAATGTTGGCAGACATAATTCAGATAGTAAGTGAGATTTGTGTAATGCTCATTCATTAGAAGAACATGAATATTTTACTGACAGAGACGGGCCTACTACTTTGCAAAAGAAATGTTTAAATCATTTAGAATACCAGCATTCAACATTATTTCAAGATTACCTGGACTAAATCATATTGTTAAAAATGCTTTGATTCCTTATGAAAGTTAGAAGCATTTATCACTGATGACATAAAAAAAATTTTGCATTTCACATATCTGCAAAATTGCTTTGAATTTTACTTGTGAATGAGATACAAGAAACACTACTACTTCCGAAATAAAAGCTGATTGGTTTTTTATGTTTGAGTGGATTATACGAAACAACTCATTTGAATACCTGATTTGTGTACAACGACTGGCACAGGTATATCAGTGCAGAGTTGCCAGCCCTCCCAATTTAGGCGGGAGAATCCTGATTTCCGATTGTTCTCCCGCCAACCTGATTTACAACATATTTCTCCCGACTTTCTTTTATTCTTCAAATTTCTCACAATTTTTACGTAGCATGGCTTAACACTTTGTTATTTACATTGCCAAAAAAGTGATTTGGGGTGTCTGAAAGCAGCTCGTTTTTCTCTGCATAAAAAACCAAATTAGCTTGATCAGTGAGAAATTACGACATGCTTATGCATGAGCATGTGTCCAGTAACGTCATGTTCTATTTCTCCAGTGAGCATCGAATGCTACTGCATGACATCTAGCACATATTACCCAATGAGCACAAATGAGATCAAGGTTATTTCGCTCATCTTGTCATTAACCTGTGTGAACGTACATGCTTTTGAGAAATAGTTTAAGAAATTATGATATTTCGTATTATTTATGTCTGCGGAAAAGGTAAAATACTCATGTACGTTTCAAAAATCTTACACAGGTGACTTTCCTTCTAATATTTCCTCAAGGAAATAGAATGCAATTGTGATGTATCATGTTGGAAGGGTTCTCAAATATGTTTGTACACAGGAACAACATGAGTTTTACTAAAAAAAATTAAAATTTAATTTTTTTTTTGTGGAAATATAGGACCAAAAAGTTAATGCAGAATGCTCTGTTCCCATTTAAGAATTAGTAACTTTCAGATATTAATTAGTAATGATTTGAAGGTAATTCATCATTAAAAAATATGTTTTTATCATAATCTAAATTTTAAAAATCTTTTTGTCATTAAAAATAAATATCCTGATTTCTCTAAAAAAATTCTCCCGATTTTTGAGTGTGTCAGGTTGGCATGTATGCCAGTATTTCATACATCTGAGTCTTATTTACAATTATTGTTTCTCCTGATATTTGAGGTTCGATGATTTCAATAAAAGGCAAGAAAAAATGTTTATGGTAAACTAGCTACTTTATTTATTTATTTTTTTAATATTCAGAAATAATACAGAGTAATACTAAATAAAATAAGTATTCAGAAATAATACAAAAAATGCTTATAGTATTTTAGAATATTCTATGATTTGATGAGGTATTGTAGGTTGTCTCTTCTGACAATATCTATCTCTTCAACCTTCATGTCATGGAATAGAAATATTTGCTTTAGTTGATCCAAGGACATTTTATTATTCAAATGTAGTAAAAAAAAAGGGGAAACAACCAGAATGTCCGTATGTTGCAAGTCATAACCCAACTGATTTTGTCGGAAAATTGTTCATCTGTGGAACAGGGAGAAATGTAACAGTGGATAACAGGTATGCTTATATAAATTGAGCAAAAGATCTTCTTCTATCACATAACTTTACTTTAGTGGGAACTAAGGAAAAAAAATTCTAACATAAATATATGTCAGCCAAAGGAAGTGAAGTGACATTCATTCTCTTTGGTTTTAAAAGACATAACTATAGGATCCTATGCCCTTCCCCCGTACCCCCGAAAAAAGTGTGTCTTAGTAGTATCAATGACGCATCGTGACAAAGTAAGTGATAAAAATTCTGTTGATCCCAAAACTCGTATTGTAATTTTTTTACTACATGATGAAACGGGAAGTGGGCACGGTTAATGAAATATTTTCTAATATGGTTCGTATAACAAATAGATTATCTATGGTGATGTATAATAACGTGTTGAATATAGTGACAATGCAAGAATTGTTTTACTGTCTACAAAAAACTGATTTAAAATATAAAAGCCATGTTTATTTTTGAAACAATTTAGTTTGTGTGTTTTAGGAGAATTTGTGAAGAAGAGAAGTTCTCTAAAAATTTACCCAAAAGTCTCTATATTGATTGTCAGAATTTTTCTTCAAATGATGATATCAATACTGATAAGCCTAGGAAAGGAAGAAATAAATCGATGCTGATGTGTAGTCTGGCTGAGAAACAAGAATTTATAATAATAAATAAAAAATCTGTAAAACACAGTGCCTTTATTTGCCAAGATCATACTTTTTCAATGTTAAAATATGTTGCAATTTATCAGAAAACAGTAGTATTTGATAACATTTTGTATTGCATGAATGAATTTGTATAATATATTAGATTAATTTATTTTTTCTAATTTTAATTTTGTAGTGTTCTATTTTGCAAAATTTATATATTTTAATAATAATAGTATATAAATTAATTTTGTAATATATTAACTGAATTTATTTTCTAATTAACCACCTTTTTTGTATTATATTTTACAGAAGTTTTTATTAATTTTGATAAGTTTTATAAGATTACTTTAGAAAACATACTAGTAATAAATAGCATAAAAAAAAAGTTTTTTTTTTTTTTTTTTTTTTTTATTTATTTTTTTTTTTTTTTTGATTGAAATCCAGTCCCAATAATAGAGTATAGAAAAAAAAGAATATATTTAATCTTTTTTTTCTTTTTTTTTTTTAAATGGCAAGTGGTAGTTATTTTTAGGCTTTTGCCACAAGTAAGGCCAGAGGAAGTGATCATTTTATTATGAAGGCACCTAATAGGTCGCCACCTTTACCTTTTGCAAGGGGACAGAGAACTGCTCCTTTCTCCACGATTTGAACCCAGACCCTTTGGTATCTTAGTTGGTTTCCCCAACCACTATACCATCTGGGCCGCTATATTTAATCTAAATAATAATTTAGTCTGGTAATTATGTTTTGGTACAGATCGATATTTGTGGGTAATTATTTGAGATCACAGAATGTAAAAAAAAGTAAGATATTTATATATATTCTACAAAATATATTTTAGGCTATAATAATTTAAGAAAAGGATGCGGTCAGATATACTTTATACCCATGTGTGCCCTCTTATATGAGAAAAAAGTGTGCATCCTCCTAGGTTAAATCCCATACTTTATCATTATGCCATGTCTTGTATGGTTCATTATAATTTGTCTGTTTAAATTCATGCCTTATTTTTGACATAAAGTTGAATATTTTGAATTATTACATATCCTGAGTTTTCTGTATATACTTATGTCTTAAAATAGAAAGAAAAAATCTTTGATATTTATAATCTTAGTGTGAATCCATTTAAAAAGCTGATATGTGCACAGACTTTATTTAGAAGAGCAACTTGGAAATTTTCACATTTTGGATATTGAGAGAGAAGTCATTATGACATTCTGTAACATATGTTCCTTTTTAATGAAAAATTATTTTAAAATAATGAATAGAAACTGATGTAGTTTTTTTTTTTTTTTTTTTTCCAAGTATGACTATTATTTTATAAATGCATTTAATGTTTTGTAATTTTTAGTCCTTGGAGGATAGTTGATGATTGTGGTGGTGCATTTACAATGGGTGCCATTGGAGGTGCTGTTTTCCAGAGTATAAAGGGATTCAGAAATGCACCATCTGTAAGTATTAAATTTTTTGAATGTAGTTTTTATATGTATAAAACATTTTGTGCTTGTGTGTGTGCCTAAAGACTTTTGAGTACTTAGCATTAATAGCACATTCACCTTATTTGAAGTCTTCAAATTGTGACACCTATGAAAGAATTTCAGTTTTAATAAGTATGATTGTCATTTTTAGTTTCTTTTTATTTTTTAAATTGTATTCCAAGTTTGAATAGTTCTTATAAACAAATCCTGATATTTTAAAAATACAACACAAATAACACAAAAGGCCTGGAAGCACGAGAGGAATCACTCAGATAGTTATCAGAATTAATTTTCAAACTTTATATGTTCCTTAAATTCCATAAATTAATAAATTCTAGAGTGGCAAAATTTTTGACTTTTCTCAATAAACGTGTGTGCGGGAAAATATCCAAACAATCAAAGTTTATTTTGTAGTACTTTCGCATTATCCGCCCAGTTTTGAGAAGAATTATTGAGTAAAGGGCTCTGCTGCCAAAGTAGGCAACCCAGAATATAACAAATATATATTTTATTCAATTACTCAGTTACAGTTGCGTGAGCGTTGGACCAGCACATAATGGCCACCGTTTTGGTATTCCTTTGAAGCAAACAATCAAATTTTGTGAAAATGTGCTGTTAAAGATTGCCAGCAAAGTTTTCGAATGTGAGTAGGAACTGCTTTCAGAATAGCCGAATATCGTTTTCGACAGCTATTTACTTTATTTATTGCTAATTGCTAATCTAAAGAATATACATCTGGTAAGTTTTGTTATTCTTAACAGTTCTTATTGCCTTGATATGTCTTCAAATACAACTCTTGATTGATGCAATTATTTGCATATTGCACAGTATGCTTAAGATATTTGGTACATTTCCTTTTCACCGGCACAGGCTATGAAGTTCCCAAAAATCATACAACTGACGCCAAGTGTAATATCCCCACTGGTAACCTTTTACCACTACATTTTCAAAACAAATCACAGCCATTTTATATCAGTTGTGTCTTTTTTCGTAATATGTCAAAAATGGATGAAAGACCAATGAAAATTTGGGATTTGTCCAGAACTGAGGAAGAATCTGTCTGCTTCCTACAAGTGAAAGGCGTTTTGCCTAAAATTGCTACTTGCGATAATAATCATGAAATAAAATTGTATTTGGGAGATGAAATTCAGTGGCACTGCAACGTTTCAACTTGTCACAGTAAATGAAGTATTAGGAAAAGCACATGGTTTTAGTCATCAAAATTACTTCTTGAAGTGTGTTAGGTTTATTTATGGTTAGAGCAAAGAATTAACTTCAGTTAAATAGTTTGAAAGCACTTGGAAATCGATCACGGAACAGTTGTGGACTAAAATAATTACGCGCGTGAGGTTTGTGTGGATTCTTTGCTTAAATGTCAGGAATAATAATATTTGCTTAAACGTCACAGAGGGATGGCACATCATCATCTGGAAAGTTATCTTGTGGAATTTATGTGGAGAAGGGAAATGAAAGACCCATTTGAAAAAATTTTAAACAATATTAAAATGTTTATGGCTCTAAAGTAAAAAAAATAATCTTATATAACTAACATTTTTTTATGTATATGCTGTGTATTCTTGCCAATAAAGTCTACTTGGCGAGATGGAAAAGTACCAGATGTTTTACAGAGGAACGGGCCATCAGATGGCATTTTCACATCATGTGCTTTCTTTAATTCTTAGGTCTGAATTTAGCAATCTTAGGCCTTGGGGGATTTTGAAGCATCTGGTCAGCCATAACAACTTGAGCACATTAACTAATCTTAAAAGCAGCATTTCCCGATACTTGCACATACTTTGCTCGACTATGTAACATGCCATCTTGCAATTTCAGATAGTAGCTGAAAGTGATGTTCACTGTGTTGATCGTATTCTACAGCAATACTCATAATTTTTCTTTTGAACAGTTATGGCTGTAGGAGCTCTGAATTGAGTAACTTTAGTTATAGACATGCTATGAATTAACTATTAAGAGCAAAGTAACAAATCTTTTCTTCCATTTTCTTGTAGCCAAATGCTGATAATTTCATGTACCTTGGGAAGTGTTTACAGATTTATAATCTTTTTGTTGTATGTTTAAAAATAAACTTGCATACTTTGAAACAGTCTTGCACAAATGTCTTCCTTGCATTACTTTCTTAAGGGAAAATAGTATATTTCTTTTGTCTACTCTTTTGTTATTGTGATTTTTCAGTTTTGCTTGTTGGAATGGCTCCTGTTTAATGTGTGCGTGGGAAGACAAATTCAATTTTTATTAACAAATAATTTCAGTCTGTGTTCAATCCAAACAAATGTGTTGGCTACATGGTTAGTTTTTGTAGTTTTCCCCATGTGTAATATGAGCACTAGCCATTCCTCTTAGAAAGTCTTCAAGGAAGACATCCTTTCCTTTGAACAGGTAAAGGAAAAAATGCATGTTTTGCCATATTCAGATAATCTTAGCCTAACCAATATGCAGATGATAAGAACAAAATTTTGTAAAAAATTTAAATACATCATTGTTGATACATCACTATTGTAAAATACACCATGTTCTAGAAAAACCAATGAAAAAAATGTTTTTTAATTGGAAAAAATCAAATAATAAAAATATTTTTTACACTTGAGTAATTTTGTAACTATTACATTTAAGAATTTATGATTGCAATTTCAGATATTTCAGTACTATTTAAAGCATTTCCACTATGTAAAAAAAGACATATTTTTATAGTTTAACAATTATTTTCATTGTTGAGAATATTTTTAAATTCAATTTTAAAAAAAAAACTTCCATTTTGAATTTGATAGGTTGGCACTTCTATTATTGTGGCAAATTGATCACATGAAATAACACTGAACTAAAGTAAGTTCACTGTTGGACTTTGTTTTAATACAAGCGAAGGGAAAAATTACATAAACTATAATTATCTGTTTGGATATTGCTTTTATCTATTATTAATTTTTAAAGTAATTCCTAGAAATGTATTTTTTTGGCTAAATAATGTTTGCCTTTCTTATTGCTTTTATATTTGCTTTCCAATTAGTAACACATTTGCTAAATAGGCAGTGCTTTAAAAAAATACAAATAATTCTGGATATTGAAGATGACTCATCTCTGCCTTGTAAGATAATAGAAACCTTTCATGAATGAAATATACTTATGTGGTTTTAAACTTATTGGCTCATTTTAGCTTATTTCTTTCTCTATAATTTTGTCTTAGTTGATGTTAACTCACGACGCCATAAAAAAGTATATGAGCCAGTAACAAAAAGAATACATGATCCAACAAACTATGTTCAGATAACTTCTTTGCCGATTTCCTCTTCGTGGCAGAAATGAAGGATGCATCAACACCTCAGGCTTCCATCACATTTTTACGTAAATATAAAATAGTACAATTATCTTTTTGATTGTTTAGTAAAGTGCTTATTACAATAACAAAATGCAGGATGTGTGCAGGCTTTGTTTCACTGTGATCATCATAACACAGGTCTACTATCCAGAAAGCTTGGCAAATGCTGGATGCCGAATATGTAAAAATTCAGCATATAAAAACATGAATAATCATGGTAAAGAAAGCCAGATAAAAAAAAAAAAAAAAAAAAAAAAAAATTCCGGTCTAAAATTGAATTTAGGACCTAAACCGGACAACAAAATGCCTAGCGTTGCCCCTGATAATTCCTAAGCGTACTTAATGATGGTTTCAGAAGTGTTTCATTGGTTTAAATTTTCTGGAAAAGTTTTCTAAAATATTCTGGTCAGTTGAATGCCAGGTAGTTGGGCATTTACTGTGTTATAAGTAGTTTTCTATCTGCATACAAGGGGTTGCCATTACTTGCACATTTAAAAAATATATGCAGAATATAAAAGGAAGACTTACTGATCTAAATTAGAACATTGTTATTTAAAACTAATTATTGTTAATAAAACTGCTAATATGTGTATATTGGAGTTGATTGTATTGTTAATTCTCTTACGAAGATCATAATTTTCTTCTTTAACACATCTTGAGCTTTGAGGAAATGTGTACATTAGTGAAATATAATCTGACAGCAGTAAGTAAAATGTGAACATTCATAGTTATATCATGTTTACGTGATATAAATTTTAGAAATTAATAATATTTTGGGTACTTTTCTTCGAAAGCCATGTCATGCATTTTTGGTACTCTGTTGGTTTATTTCTCAACAATTTTGGCTTGATATTAGGGAAAGGGAATGACTTGGAATAGCAGCAAAGAAACATCTCTAATTTTATGACAAAATCTTTGTAAAAAAAATCCATTGTAGGATTGGAACATAGCCTATTTTTGAATTTTTATGAATAAATTTTGATCAGTTTCCACAATTTTGTAGCATCCACCAATTTTAATGTTAGAATAAGTTAACAATGATTTGGTATATATATCTTCCATGTAATTATTTTAATCACTCGTTTTGATCTGATTCATTTGGAGTGAGCTTTGGTATGCAAAACTTGGTAGATGTAAACTTGCAACTCAATAAACAATTGAATTGGTAACAAAAGAAATGCATGAGCCAACAAAACTGTGTTTATGTTCGGACACCTTTCTATTCCTGCCAGATATGAAGGATGCATAACTAATTTGGGCTTCAGGTCACATTTTATTTCAAGTGATTAGTTGAATACAATATTGCTTTGTTGAAGAGTATCTCCTTGAAGAAACAAGATAGCTGTTTCATCTTCTCTTGGTGAATCGCTAATTATGAAATCCATTACAGAAGAGGAAAAGTTACCAGTTAAGTGAAAAACATGACCAATGGTTTTAAAAAAAAAAAAAAGTTTTCCCTAGGAAAGAAACTAAACCAAACTGGTAACATTTGATATAGAGAAAATGCCTTACCTTTCAAGAAAGTGTTGTGTGGCTTTAACAGAAAAGTTATTGTTGTCACTAGTCTGACATAGTCAGCCCAAGCCTACTACATTTCTTGTGGCAAGGAGTGCTAGATTATGCCTGCCATTGGCAACAGCCTTGAGCACCATTCAGGTGACAGTGCAATTTAGCTCGGTTCCGCCCGAAATTTAGATGGAGAGCACTCCACGGGGAATGGGTCCTAGGATCTCCTCTTTTACCGAACCATACAAGAGGACTTTCGGTTTGCCGCATATTTAGAGTGCTGCAATACACCACCGACTCTATACATTTACAAACATCCATGCCTTCTTGGGAACTTGAACCTGCCATCGTAGTCAGCTACACTAACCACTATATCAGTTGGCCGGCTTAACAGAAAAGTACTGTTATCTGCCCGCAACCTTTTACCCACTGATCATTTTTTGGCTTGTGAGTCAGAAAGATGTACAAAAGTGTACTGTTTTATGGATAATGCATAGGTATGTTTTATATTTCTGAGGTAAAGACAGTGTAATTAGGATATGTATTGCTGTATTTACAAGGCACATTGTATTGTAAACTTTAGAAATTGGTATTGATCTGTACATGACTCTTTATTCTCTTATTTTTTTGGTTTGTCACTCAGAAAGATGTACAAAAGTAAATATGCTGTTTCACAGATAATGTGTTAAGTATATTTTATCTTTAAGAGATGCAAACAGAGTAATTAAAATTATGATTTATTTAAATACTAAATATTACACTGTTAGTCTTATTAAGAAATTGTTAATGATCTGCACACAACCTTTTACTCACTCATTTTTTTGGTTTGTGGGTCAGAAAGATGTGCAAAATTAAATGTATTGTATTATGGATAATGCATCAATATGTTTTATTCTTTGGAGGTACAAACAATGTAAATAGCATTATTATTGTTATATTTACAAGGCCCGTTGTATCGTGAACTTTAGAAATATGTAATCATCTAGACATGACCTTTTATTTCCTTCCCCCCTTTTTTGGTTTGTGGGTCAGAAAGATGTACAAAAGTAAATCTGTTTCACAGATAATGCGTTAGTGTATTTATCTTCAGAAGATGTAGACGGTGTAATTAAAATTATGATTTATTTAAATACTAAATATTAAACTTTAGTCTTATAGAAATTAATAATGATCTGCACACAACCTTTTACTCACTCATTTTTTTTGGTTTGTGGGTCAGAAAGATGTGCAAAATTAAATGTATTGTATTATGGATAATGCATCAATATGTTTTATTCTTTGGAGGTACAAACAATGTAATTAGTATTATTATTGTTATATTTACAAGGCCCATTGTATCGTGAACTTTAGAAATATGTAATCATCTAGACATGACCTTTTATTTCCTTCCCTCCCTTTTTTTTTGGTTTGTGGGTCAGAAAGATGTACAAAAGTAAATCTGTTTCACAGATAATGCGTTAGTGTATTTTATCTTTAGAAGATGTAGACGGTGTAATTAAAATTATGATTTATTTAAATACTAAATATTAACCCTTTAACTGTCAAGTTATTTTGATGATTTGGGTACACAAATTTTCAAATTTTTTTTATTGGAAAAACCAAATGTAGCCGAAATAAACATCTCCCCGATATATATTCGGGTATGACAATATGATGCACTCAAAAAAAAAATTACCCCGAGAAATACTCGGGCGTGACATTTTCGAACACCAGTGCTGTGCCTGAGATAATCTCAAGCATGACAGTTAAAAGGTTAAACTTTAGTCTTATAGAAATTGATAATTATCTGCACACAACCTTTTACTCACTCATTTTTTTTGGTTTGTGGGTCAGAAAGATGTGCAAATTAAATGTATTGTATTATGGATAATGCATCAATATGTTTTATTCTTTGGAGGTACAAACAATGTAATTAGCATTATTATTGTTGTATTTACGAGGCACATTGTATTGTATCGTAAACTTTAGAATATGGTAACGATATGCATATGACCTTTCATTCTCTCCTATTTGGCCTAAAGGGCTATTAATTTTGTTTTGGCATTTTGCTTTTATTCGCGATAAACGACAAATCACTTTTTAAATTGTTGCCATTAAATATTATTGCCATGTGCTTTATTAAATGATGTTAAATAATAAAGAATCTGCATAAATGTATATTTCTAGCATTGTGAACAAGCAACTGTATCTATAGCGATCAAATTTTGAATAGCGTAATCCTCCACAGAATGTAGGCATCTGGAAGCTCTAATTTGGAATTTGTTTTATATTTTGTAACACTTTAACGAACTTTTGATTAAAAAACTTGATGATTTCAAAGCGAGCAATGGCAAAACTGTACCATGAAGGGGGAGAGAATTTTGATGTCCAGCATGCGAGACCGTATCAGAAATTCTAAATATATGCTCATTTAAAAATTATTTTGCAATATAGGTGTTAAATTGAGTTTTATGGTTGAAGTGTGAAGAACATGATATTTAATAAATAAAGGTAACATGCAAAATATTTAAAAAAAACACCCCGTTGGGTGTAATGTAAAATCTGAAGGCCTTCAGATTTTATTTGTGGGTCAGAAAGTTGTATGAAAGTAAATGTACTGTTTTCACAGGTAATGCGTTAGTGTATTTTATCTTAAACAAATACAGACAGTGTAATAAAGCTTGTGATTTATTTAAATACTAAATATTACACTTTAGTCTTAAAAAAATTGGTAACCGAACCATCTGCACAAACGTTTTACTCACTCGCTCATTTTTTGATTTGTGGGTAAAAAAAATGTGAAAAATTAAATGCATCAATATGTTTATCTTTTTGAGATAGAAACAATGTAATTAGTATTTACTGCTGAAGACACGTTGTATCGTGAACTTAAGAAATTGATAATCGTCCACACATGACCTTTTATTCTCTCTCTCTCTTTTTTTTTTTTTTTTTTTTTTTTTTTTGTGTTGTGTGTGTGTTTGGGTCAGAAAGATGTACAAAAGTAAATGTACTATTTCACAGATAATGTGTAGTGTATTTTATATGTAAGAGATACAGGCAATGTAATTAAGATTACAAAATTGACCCACGATTCTAGAAGATTCCAGAAAAATGTGATAAAATGAAAAATGTCTCGATGGTAGTAACACACAGTTTCTTACATTTTGGAGAACATCTGGAAGAACAAATGAAAACATAATAGTTGAATGTTTTACTTCTGATTCTAGAATTGCTTTCTTAACATTTTTATCTTCCCTTTATTTTCTCTACTTTTCACTAGGTACAAGCATGGAAAATATCAAAAGTACTTTTAATCTTATCATATGAACAGGCATTATAGAAAGGAATTTTTTTATTAATAAAGAAATTGAAAATTGACAATTCAAAAGATTCATCTAATATGTCTTAATGCATCATACACAAAGCTGGGGCTAGGCATTTTGCCACCTGATGCAGTCTTTGTGGATTCTAAATTCTAAAAGTTTTGCCATTTCTAGATTGTTTTTGCTCGGTGTGTCCCTAAATTCTCAAAATTATGCCACACCAGTTCTGTGACCAGACCTTACCATATGTATTTCATATTAAGTTAGTTTTAAAGCGTCTATTTCAGGACGCATTGTGACATGATTATTAGAAACTTGATTTAGGGATGTTGAATGCTTCTAGCTATTTGGCTTTGTCTTGCCAGTTTTCTACAAACCAGAGCCTAGCCTGCATGTTAAATTATCCTGTGAGCCACTAGGCTAATCTACCACATTTTGAAATAGTTCATCATTTCCTATTTCTGTTAAGCCAGAAGTGCTTAGCTTATGTAAACCAGGTTGGGTAAATGTTAAGTTTGTGTTCAAATAAAAGGGCCTTGTACACCCTTCTGACTTTTCGTTTTGTTTCTCAAGACTAGAAGGTAATTCTTCAGTAGTCGTTTTTTAAAGTCTATAGTGTATACTGCCTAACAGAACTATATTTTATAAGCTTTTTATCATATATAACTTCTGAACTCTTTAAACATTGATGTTCATTTCCATTTTCCTATAGTCTATCTTGTCCCAGAGTGGGCAGTACTTATTTTGATGCGTAATACATGCATGCAATTTTTGGTTTTTAAGTTATAATATTTCCTGGACTTTGACTAATGTAGGAGTGAAATGAACTCAACTAATATTTACAATTAATTTTTAAAATTAAAAATATTTACAATGTACCAAAATGTGTATTAAATTTTTATGAAATGCTGTGAAATATAAATTTTAAAATCGACTGTAATCTGGTTATCTGGTTTAATTATTATTTTATTGTTTTGATTTTTTACTTCAAACGGTTTTCAAACATTACTTACATAAGTGCTTCATAAGCAAAAGAAATTAGCTGCTATAAAGCTTTGGGATGCTATATCATTATGCAGTCAATTCTTTGCTGTAGTTTTACTATTAGGAATATTGTTTTCTTAATCATTGCTTCTTAAGTGGTCATGAGCATGATATTGTAAAATAATCTAATCTATTGTGAAATAATAATTTCATGTGATACAGAAATATGTGTGGAAGCTTATTATTTTCAGATCCATTAAGTTCGAGAAAAATTTGATTATTTATAAATATGCGAGGTTTTCTATATTATTATTTTTACGTTTAGAGATTAAATTTACCATTTTTTCCCCAAAGTTCCTACTGGAAACACAAATGTGGTAATAATTGTTCATTACTTTTAAAATTGATAAATTTAATGACTGGGAAATTTGGATAAATGTGCAAAATGCTTTATAATGCAGTAGAAATTTATAATGCAAAATGCTTTATAATGCTGTAGAAAAGTTTATAAATATATGCGATTTCAGAAAATGCATATTTGGGGGCATGTTTTGCAAGTGTATCATGTACTTGAAGTGAGATAAGTATGATATTAATTTATAAAAGCCAAGCACTTTTGAAAAATGCTTTATCTGTATTTTGATTTTTTTTTTTTAAAATTAGGGTACCACACGAAGATTACAAGGAAGTTTAGCAGCTATTAAACAAAGAGCACCTATAATTGGTGGTTAGTAGTCTTTAATTCAAATTTTAAGCTTTTTATTAATATTTTATTTATATTTTTATTTAATAGATTGAGCGTTTTAAAATTTATTTCATGAGAAATAGATCATGTATATTTAAGTTCATGGTTTGCCTGTTTTATTTTTTATCAGTGATCTTATTCTTTAATGGTATTAGATTCTATAGTTTTTTTCCTAAATATATTTAAACGCTGTAAGATGGTTACAATTTTAGTTTTAAGAATTTGAAATTATTTTTACTCTGATTGAATTTTGTTGAGATTTGTACCATTACCTGTAAACTTAAGTACAAAAACTAAAACATACACACATAAAGTATTTTATTGGGACATTTTTATTTATATTACTTTGTCATTACTAACATAAATGTGTCTAGTTCAGTAGTAATTTAGTTAAGAGAATTATTTTACATATCTGTTAATGCATAAGGTCATATTTTTGAAAATAATAGTGTTTATAATCTGTACGTGAAAAGGCTATTAAATTAGAATTATCATCTTTTTTATGCTTAATGTACTATCTCTCCCTCTTTTTATTAAACTGTACTGTATTAGTAGCTAATACCAACGAGGTTAACTTGCAGGGTCAATGAGGCTTCCAAAAGATGCATTGTAATAGAAACAATCAAATGCAGTTATAAAATGAATTGGTTCAGTGTGCATGCTAGAAAAGATATTTCATATAGCTCCGAACAGTTTGTGACATGATTGAAGCCGAGTGATTTTGCCCAAATTCAAATTTAGACAAATATAACCAAAATGGTTGTCACTTTCTGTAAAACGCAGGGAGCTGGCATCATAAGGATGGAACTGTTTTTGAATGATGTTAGTGATGTTGATATTGTCTAGACGTGATTTTTCATGTTTGCCTCTTTACTTTTTAAATTTCTTCTCATATGTAATAATTTGATTGGAAGGGTAAAAATTTGGCAGTGTTTTTGAAAAATTCAAGTTATTTTTTTTAAATGATTTTGTTGATGGTAAATTTCAATAAAATTCCAGAATCACTTTAAAAAAAGATTAGTAATGTTTTTAAGTTACAACAGTTTAAAAATTCAAAATTTGGATTGAAGAGAAGTGATAGAAATCAGCCCCAAAAAGGAAAGAAACAGCAGCTTACAAAAAATAACCGTGCAGCAGCTTGGAAGCATATCAAAATCTGATTATCCATCACTAGCAAATGTTGTGTAAGTCTTAAATGTAAGTTATGAATTCATAACTCTATAAAATAGTATATATATTGGGAAAAATGTTTTGAAAAATGAGTCATTAAATGAATGATAAAACCATAAAAGCTATCTATAAAAAAAACCTCTTTGAAATTGTAATCAGATAAGCACTTGCAAAAGAAACCCTACAGTCATGTTTATCCAAATGACAAATACTTAAACAGGATATTTTCTTTAAAAGAATTTTGTTATAGATGGTTATAACAAACTGACACTTATTTAACTGAGATACATCAAATTAAGCTTTAATTATCCATATTTCATGTCGCACATAACAGATGCTGTATGTGAGATGTGTAACATGCATGCAGTCCTCTCCATGCACATTGAAGTATGTCCATTATGAATGATGTAATGGCCATCACTAATGCAGATTTTGAATTAAATGACAATAACAGTAAAAAATTAGTATCTTTTACCTTGCTCCCACAAAGAAAATGTTCCAAAGTATGTCTTTAGAGCAAATGGGCAGAATGTTCTTTCTTTAAAAGCAGCTGAATGTATTTTCTAGGCTGATGAGTTGAATGCAATATTTTGTAGTTTATAGCAAAGATCTACATAAGACTAAGTTAATATGTTCTTATTAAAACTGTAAACATTTTTTTTGGGGGGGGGAAGGTTTAGATTGGCAGAACTATCAGTTCTGTGGCAGCTGATATAGGTCCTTCTTCAGAACAAAATCCTCCAACGAATTAGTTATATTTAAATTCTGTGCCCATGTAAAAGTCCCCCCTCCCAAAATTGACATTTTATATTGATTTATGTGTGTATCTCTTCCAGTAGATTTATAACTATAATGAGCTCTGTGCTAGTTGCTGAAAAGTAAATTTATGTCAAAAAATCAATCATGCCTTCTATAATAAATGGTAATTTTTTCAAACTGACAAATTTAATAGTTTATTTTTAAAAAATATTAAACATGATGTTCCAAAACAGGAACCATTGGCATGTAAAAGGTTGAGGTAATGCATATATGCAGAATCATGGTTGGCAAGAGTTTATTATACTTTTTCAACATTGATATATTTATAGAAAATTAAACTACTGTCTTTATTATTAGCAAGTGAGCAACTTAACTTTGTGTTCCACTTTTTATAAATTTCTTCAGTTTCATGATTCGCAATTCTCTAGTTTGATTTTTTATTAATTTTTAGAAAGGCATAAAATTATCATTACTGAGATCAAGGTCACTGAAGTCATAAAACAGAGATTACTATTGGTAATACTACCTTGGAACAGAGGCCATTTTACTACTTTCATCTAGTTACCATCATGATGGCACAGTGGTACAAGTTTGTATCTATAAATGAAGATGATATAACAGAAGTTTTTCATTGCGATGACAATGCCTCAATCATCAATCAATTAATGGACAGTGAAATCTGTAGTATGGTTCTAAATCCGGAAGTACCGCTTCGGATAGTGAAGAAAATTACAGGGGTTATTGAAAACGAAAAAATTTCGATTGACAAGTTAGTCAGTATTCTCGACACAGCAATTACAGGACTTGAACAGTGGAACTCTGTAACTGAAAAAAAATTGTCTGTTTATAGAATTAAAGAGAAAGTATTAGCACAAAAAATGAAGCAACTTAAACAACTTACTTTGAAAGAAATTAATGATAAAGTAAACAAATAAATATAATATTTTTGGACCTTTGGCTGCCCTCAAAATCGATTGAGTGTTTTAATATATGTACGCTAAATACAAGGATGTTATTGAGATTTTGAAATACTAAGCTTTTTTTTTTTTTTTTTTTTTTTTTTTTTTTTTTTTTTTTTTGTAAATTTGGATACTCTTTAGATCATAATATCTCTTTATTTCATAAATTATGGTTTCATATTTTTAATTGTATAATTTCTGCATGCCATCTTACCAGATTTAAATTGATGATCTATAAGCCGGATTACGGATTTTGTACTGTATTTGACTTTTATTCTTCCAGAGACATTTTACTATTATTTGGAATTTGATATATATATTTCACCAGCACTTCAGAGTGTGATAATTTAATTCATTGTTAATGCATTTCCAGTAGCAGTTTTTATAAAATAAATCATTTAAAAACCACATTGTATTTTTTAACGTATTTAAATATTTTTATGATCCAGCTATTCCTACTCTAAGAGCTTGTTAAGAAATTGCATGTCAGAATTGTAACCCCCCCATTTTTTTTATTATTCAGGGATTTCTATAAATCATTTTACTTGCAGTGTAAAAATAGTTCAAATTTAATTCTAAAGTAAGTTTTAGTATTTTAGAATTACTGTTAAGACTTATTACCCTTAATAGTATCTTAATGCACAGTATCGCATAGCGCGTTTACCTGCTCATTTCTTTTTGCAGCAGGTATAATAGCTATGCTATATAGACATAACTAGTGTTTTGATGTTAATGCACTATTGCTTTGACATTAAATGCAATAGTATACAGGCCATTGTGATCAAGAAATTGATATAATTTCTTTATAGTATGTATTATTTTAGTTATAAAGTTCAGGAGTCTTTATAAATGCATCTGTATTGCATTGTTTAAAGATAGCTTGTTTTTTATATAATTTATAGAAATGTGTTATATGAAGTATCATATGGTATGCTCGCTCACTTATTTCTTTTCACAGTAAATATGATTAATATTCTATATTAACTATATTTTAATCTATTTATTGCTTTAGTATTAAAAGCATTTACTTATAATTCTCTGCTGTATGAAACTTCTGACAGAAGGAGTTATGTTTATACCCGTCCTTTTTATTTATTATTATTTTTTTAAGCCCAAAGGAGCACTAACCCGAAAGGGTTATTAGTCTTGAAATGGCATTTTGCATCGAATCACTAAATACGCTAAATATCTCATGCTCACTGATTTCAAAGAGAGCAGTAACAACACTGTGTGTGATAAAACATTTTTATCTCCAGTGTGTGAGACTGTCTATTGGAAAATCTGAAGGTATGCTGTTTTTAAACGTGCTAGCCCAAATTCTCTGAAAGTGTGTATGTAAATGTGTGTGTGTGGGGATGTTTAGGTATAATACAAAATCTGAAAACTTTCTTTCTTTTATTAATACTAAATGTAATCTTGGTATACAAGGGCTACATCTGTTCTGCTGGTATAATATCAGCACTGTGTGGTCAGCCAGAAAATTTTGAGTTAAAGGAAAGAGCAGGCTCAAATGACAAAACACATACCAAGTGAAAATGGGCTGCTTTTAATAGTAACATCAAGTGAAAAGGTTTTTCACATGTAAGAATAGGACATAACCAAATGTTTCTAGTGTTGTCAGCTCATAGGCTCAGATACCTGTACATGTAAAACTTCTCTATGACTTTCTTAAACTTTTTGTCAGTGTATTTTTTACGTATACAGTACAAAGTCCGAAATCCGGACTCGTTGGGACTTGGGCGATTCCGGGTTTGGAATTTTTTCGGGTGAATAGATCATCAATTTAAATCTGGTAAGATGGCATGCAGAAATTATACTATTAAAATATTAAATCGTAATTTATAAAATAAAAAACTATGTTCTAAAGGGTATCAAAATTTACCAAAAAATGCTTAATATTTATTTGTTTGCTTTATTAAACATTTCTTTCAATGTAAGTTAAGTTGCTTCCATAAAAATTCAAAAATTTTTTCTTATGTCATATATACGGTTGATTTTTCCAGTGCCATAATCCTCGCATAATTTTGAGACATTTATCCATTTTTTGCAGCAATTCCACTTTTTGTTTAATGGACATCGAAACATGGTTTCACTTTGTAGATCCTTTGGCAGCTCCAAAACTGGAAACTCCTCTTGACACAATCAAAAGTACAAGCTTAATTTTTATAAAATTGCTATAATAATAACAGTCTGCAAAAAATAATAAGCTGGATCAAATTAGAAGGTTAAGGAGCAGCACAGTCTGTCACATTAACTGAAATGCCTTAAAATCAGTTAGCTTTGGCTGTGTATCACAAGATTGGTGATGAAAGCTAAGTTGTTCTGCTAAATTTTGTCTTGCTCTTATTGCGTACTGAATTAAGCCTGAATTGTATTAGTTATTTACTATACCTACGTTTATTTCTTGCACATGCTTAAGACTAATCCGAGTCCTGAATAAATAAATTCCCACATATACTTAAGGCTTTATCTAGGGCCGGCATTAGATACTGCCTGGTGCAGTCTCTAAATTCTGCTACAAAGCGCCTTCCTCAGGTCAAAATTTTCGCCACGCATAAACTTTAGATCCCAGTGCTTTTCCCCCTAAATTATAAAAAAACTTCTTATCGCTTAATTTTGCCACTCGGTGCTTCCCCAAATTCCAAAAATTGTGTCTTCCCTAAATTCTGCAGCTGCTTCTGGGTTTATGGTGAATAACATATCAGTATTCTTAATTAAAACAGCACTAAATGTAATCTTTTGGCCTATGAGTTTCATTAACAAAATCTATTTTTAGCATATGAAAAAAATTTTTGTTGAATTTTTCCTCATCAACATTTCTTAGAGCATTTAAAAAATATGTAATCATCACCAAGCGTAATGTTAGCAGAAAAGGTTGCCTTACTCTTGTTATTCAATTACTAATATAAAAAAAAATTTAGACATCACTGCATGAGTTATTACTGAAGCTGCCATGTATTGATAAACATGCAGTGTTGAAAGCAAAATGTAATAAACAGTGACTCGCTAGGTCAGCATCAGGGATATAATATAGATGAATGTTTCGGTTTGAGATGTAATGCCAAGCAGACACTCAACTGCAGAGCCAAATTATTAATCTCACAAATTTATGCTTACATGATTGCTTTTTCATAACAGTGTATTTTATTTAGTGCCTAAGTGAAATTAAGAATCGGAATTTTTAAGTGAAAATCTCCACACGTTTTATTATGAAAGGAAAAAGATGCGCATACGTAAGGCATACCAAAAAGAAAAAAAAAAAAAGTTTGTGACTTTAAGGTCCGGATTTGGATTTTGGATCATTCTGGATAATGGGCGTCCGGATTTCGGACTTTGTATTATTTGGCAAGATATATTTTGAATACTTGTTCATGAAATAGTACATGTAATGCTGTACTTAATTACCTTGCTACTTTCTAAAAGTTAAAATATATAAAAGTTAATTTGATGTGACTTTAGAAGTTATGATTTTAGTGACTTTTCCTGTCATGTCAAGTAATGGCATACATTCATGACATCCTTAATGTCTTAATTCTGAGGTCGTGCAAATATGGTGGTAACTTACACATGAGAGATGCCTTTATTGCGACACCTATCACCTAGATTTCTAAAGCAAATTAAGAATTTAAATAAGAGCAATACTTTGGTTAATCCAACTTTGTAGTTAAATGGTTAGTTATCTAAGGGGTATTAAATGTCTTTTCTCTCTCTCTCTTTTTTTTTTTAACCTGGTCCTAAATATTAGCTGTGCATAATTGCATTTCATACCGCAAAAAAATCACAGTAACATTTACATATTAAGGTTTATTTGAGAAAGATATGCTAGTTTTGTTAACATTATTAATTTTTATTTTAAACCTGTTATATATAAAATTTAATATATTAGGAAAAATTTTAACAGGAAATTTTGCTGTCTGGGGAGGCCTTTTTTCAACTATTGATTGTTCATTAGTACATATCCGTAAAAAGGAAGACCCATGGAACTCTATTGCAAGTGGTGCATTGACTGGAGCAGTTTTAGCAGTAAGGAGTAAGTATATATATATATATACACTGAAGTGACAAAAGTCATGGGATACCTCCTAATATTTTATCGGTCCTCCTTTTGCCCGGCGAAGTGCAGCAACTCGACGTGGCATGGACTCGACAAGTCGTTGGAAGTTCCCTGCAGGAATATTGAGCCATGCTGCCTCTATAGACGTCCATAATTGTGAAGTGTTGCAGGGTTTTGGGCACGAACTGACCTCTCAATGATGCCCCATAAATGTTCGATGGGATTCATGTCGGGCGATCTAGGTGGCCAGATCATTCGCTGGAATTGTCCAGAATGTTCTAACCAATCGCCCTCGTTCTAACCAATTATGGCCCGGTGACATGGTGCATTGTCATCCATAAAAATCCATAGTACGTGAAGTCCATGAATGGCTGTAAGTGATCTCCAAGTAGCTGAAGGTATCCATTTCCAGTCAATGATTGGTTCAGTTGCACCAGAGGACCAAGTCCATGCCATGGAAAAACAGCCCAGACCATTATGAAACCACCACTAGCTTGAACAGTGCCTTGTTGACAACTTAGAACCATGGCTTCGTAGGGTCTGCGCCTCACTCGAACCCTACCATCAGCTCTTACCAACTGAAATTGTGACTCATCTGACCAAGCCAGTTTTCCATTCGTTTAGGGACCAACTGATATGCTCACGAACCCACAAGAGTCGCTACAGGCGATTTCGTGCTGTCAGTAAAGGCACTCGAGTCGGTCTTCTGCTGGCATAGCCCAAGGAAGACAAATTTCGCCGCACTGTCCTATCAGACACGCCCCTCATATGTCCCACATTGATTTCTGCGGTTATTTGATGCAGTGTTGCTTGTCTGTGAACATTGACAACTCTACGCAGACGTTGCTGGTCTCGGTCGTTAAGTGCAGGTGGCCACTACGCTGTCCATGGTGGGATGTTATGCCTGAAATTAAATACTCTCAGCACGCTCTTGACACTGTGGATCTCGGAATGTTGAATTCCCTAATGATATCCGAAATGGAATGACCAATGCGTCTAGCTCCAACTACCATTCCGCGTTCGAAGTCTGTTAATTCTCGTCGTGCGGCCATAATCACGTCAAAGCCTCTTCACATGAATAACTTGAACACAAATGAAAACCCTACCAAAGCACTCCGCATTTATACATTTTCTACGCGGTACTACTGCCATCTGTATATTTGCATATTGCTATCCCATGACTTTTGTCACTTCAGTGTATATACATTTTTATTTTAGTAATAATTTTTATCATGCTGTTTTATGAAAAAGGAAGTCGATTTCTTCCATCTGTCTTAAGTTCAATCTAGTACCAAATTATGGTGCAGATTTATGTAATTTTGTATATTGCTTAATATATTTTCAGTAAGGATAATTCTTTTACGAATGTAATGTATAAAAATTAGTTTAAGAAATGAAGTACTTTTAATTTTAAAAAAAAATGTGTTTGAGTAAATTGATAAAATATGCAGGACTAGGCAATGATAGCACGTGGTAATTCAATGTGTAAAGTTTCAAATAAATATGTAAAGGTATAAATATTTTTAACAGGTTGATTGATATTGCTGTGTGAATTGCAATGAGGATGTAAAAAGGTCTAGAAAAGATTCCAGGTGGCAGGTTTCAGATAAATACAAAAACTAAGTTTATTGAAGTCAGTAATCAAAAGCAGTGAGTGGGATAAATCTAAAGGACTTCTAAAGATTTGGATTTTTATGTTCGAGGTATGTTCAGAGTAGTAAATGGATAACAGAATTTTATTTTGAATTGTGTTTAATACCAAGCGTAAAGGTTATAGATTTAGATTTTGTAAGAATGTATCATTCATGAAGAACTTAAATTTCTATTTTTTGAATTTTTACTGATCTATCTTTATTTAACAATTTAAACCAAATCATTGGCAGAAACTAGGAATACTGAAAATGTGTATTTCATCGAATATTTCTTGTCTGGGTTTTAAGAAACACATTATTAATATTTTGACATACATTTATAAAATTCTTGTGTAGAGAATATTACACTGAATATGGGCATCTGGAAGCCCTAATTTGGAATTTGTTTTATTATCGATTTACTATTCTGTAACACTTGAACAAATTTTTGATTAACAAACTCGATGATTTCATCGCAAACAATGGTAAAATTGTACACGGGGAAAATTTTTTCTCCAGTACGCGAGACTGTATATCGGAGATTCTAAAGATATGCTGATTTTTAAATTATTTTGCGATATTGCTGTTGAATTTTATGGTTTGAGTTCAAAGATCAATAATAAATAAAAGTAACACAAAAAGTTTAAAAAGTCCGTTTGGGTGTAATGCAAAATCTGAAAAATTTCTTTTTTTCTTTTTTCTTTTCTTTTCTTTTTTTTTTTTTTTTTATATATATATCTCTGACAAATCTTTCTTTCTGTATGCTGTTGTTCTCACCATGTACACAGTGATCTGTTTTTGTCTTAAAAAAATCAAAATTGCACAAACTTGGCACTGTGCACTGGCCTTAATTGACATGTGCATACCAGGGTTACGACATGAGAACTTCTGAGTGGTATTTGAGAGTTGTAACATAACTATTTCAACAGCCTGCTGCTTTGCCTCATAAATACCTGTTGGGGTCAAAAAGTATCAAAATCATGTTACTAAATTAAAACTGTTGATTGTAATATTGAAAACATCACATTTGCTTTTAACTTGAGGGTGTTATTTTTCTCAATAATTAATTACAGCATTTGTTATGTATTAATAATTTAGTATAATTATATATTAATGGTTTTGAATGTAAAATATTTATTTGGTATTTGAATTTTTTTAATGAACTTTTGTTTTGCAGATGGGACAGGTGCAATGATTGGTTCAGCTGTTATAGGTAAGCATGTATGCATGTAATCTTGCCTTAGAGGCTTTCAGAAATTACTTTTTTAATTTATGTAGTATTAAAGTATAATTTTCATTTCTGTAAATACTACAAATAGAAATGATAATTTTTTCATTGTTGTTTTTCGAAAGTTTTGATTCCTGTCCCCATATCTATATTAAGTTTTAATAGTGTCAATTTTTAATATTATTAATAGTGATGCATAGAGGACTATGTAACATATTTATTTAGCAGTGGGAATTCAAGCTGTCTTTCAGAACACATCTTGTTAATCCAATTCACCATTGCTTACAGGTAGTGTAAGGTGTAAAAACTACATAAGTATATTCTGAATCGCTGGGGTAAAAAGTAATATAATACAGCAAAAATTCAGTAATCTGGCATGTTGTGTCAATTCCAGATTCTCTGACTAAAATTACGAATATAGCAAAAAATCAATGTGGCAGGATCTAGTGTATACAAAAAACTGCATAAAAATTCATATAATTCTAAAACATATTTTATGAGTAAAACTTATTAGTGTAAGTAAATTTCTGTAGTATGATTATATTTAATTAGTTTTCTTTTTTAAGACATCAGTATTTCCAATGCAAGAAGTATTTCTATTTAAATTTTTAATGTCTTACCACTTTAAAATTCTGTTTTTCTTTTTAAAAAAGTACTTTAAAATATTAATAGTTGTTTTTTCCATATTGAGTATTTAAATGTTTTTGAATAAGTTTCACAAATGCATTGAATGCTTGTGCCAAATGCCTACTTGAGTATTTTAAGTACTATTTTAAGTAGTAATTTTGTTTTGACATTCTCAGTTAACTGGTTCGTAATAGACCTAATGGCATGATAGCTAACAATTTTCCATTTGTCTCCAGTTGGTCATTATTATCACTTTTAGTTCATTCGGTAATTTAGTTTTCTGAAAGCTTTAAAAAAAAAAAAAAAAAAAAATGAAAATGGTGGTGGGGAGAATGCATGAATAGCTAAGCCTTTCTGAATATTGGTAAATGCCTGATCAGGAATGTTCGTGAAGAATGTGCTGTTTTTTGAGGGTGTAGAATCACTAGATGCCAGACTACTAGGCTTTTATTGTATTGTATTTACAGTAAACCCTTCCCTAACATGGCGGTTACATCATTAACATGATATGCATGTATGGCAAAATAACATTCCACAAAGTTTATTTTCTGTGGAAAAAATGGGTAATTCTGTATATTGTAATTAAAAGGAAAAAAAAAACATTAAATGAAATGATTTCTGTTACTATTTAATAAGTAGGCACATGACACAGTTATTTATTTATTTTTTTTTAATCTGGCGATTTTTGTTTGGAACAATATCTGATGCAACTTGTTTAACTCGTGAGGTGTGTAAAGTTTTTCAGTACCTCTCATAAAGTGCCTTCTTTATTCATTTAGGACAATCTCCATTACAAAACTGGACAATTCCTGTGCCTTTTCTAAACAATATGTTAAACTTTCTTGTACATTAACGCTTTTAGAGCCAGTATATAATAGAATTGTAAAATTGTGCATGAATAACTTATCCACCCTGAGAATACAGAATTGAGGCTTAAAAAATCTAATGTAAATCCTGAATTTTGACAGCAGGTATATATTTTATACCATCACCCTTATAAGACATTTTTTTGGGGCTCGAATTGTTAATTTTTTTTAAAAATTTGTCTTTGTGTACTTTCGATGTATATTTATAGAAATGGTTACTTGAATGTAGTTAAGGTTGGAGTGAAAACGTTCTAAAATTTTAGTAGAAATTTAAAAATTCACATTTTTAGGGACTTTGATGATGCCACCCAGTTGAATATATTTGTGCAAAATATGTGAAAAAAAGCTTTTGAAAATTATTTAAATTCAGTATTATTTTACAAAAAATTTAACAAATTAACACTACCATGCTGTTTGTAACTGAACTAGCATAATGTTATAAAGAAATGTTAACTTGTCTGAAAAATGAAAATTTACTTTTTTGAAGTTATATTTTGTGCTTTAATGTATATAAAAAGAACATGCTTCGTGCTGTGATACCAAGAACTCCTCTGGCACACTTTTGATTATTGGGATTCCAGGCCCTGAAAGGCCATTTTTAAATTTTTCGTAAATTATATGTTGTAATATATTATTTTGGTAAGGAAGAAAAGCTATTAAATGATTTTATATCTGATACACCTCAAAGCCCTTTTTTTAATTTTCTCTAAATAGGTGGTAATACATGATTTGGCTGAGGAAGAATAGCTTTTCCCCACATTATTTTTAATTCATGAAAAAAGCCTATCTGTTGGATATGTTCAGCATCACTTGATTCCGAGTCACTCATATCAGATAAATTCCCCCTTTTTTATTCTTTCATATAGCTTTATTGGAAAGATCAATCTCAACATATGAAACAGTTCAATTAACGCACAAGAGCAATGATAAATAATAAAAAAAGAACAAGCATTTATAGATTAAGAATCAGAATAAATGAACAGGAGAACAAAAGTAAAAATTTAAATAACAAGAAACATAAGAGATGTAGTCTCTACAAGGTGTTCAACATTCTAGTATAGTTGATGTAACCACATTTCTTAGACTCTGTATCTAGTTCTGGGCATATAAGAAGATGCTCTGCATTCGTGATGCCCGAATTGCAAATTTGACATGTAGTACTAGATGGAAGGATGGCAATTTTATTAAGATGATGTGCCATGCAATCGTGGCCTGTTTGCAGTCTAAGTGGTTTGCTGTCTTGTGATATAAGTGTTATTCTCTTGGTTGGTGAGTCTGCCTTCTTTATTTTTTGGTGAATATTCTTCATCAGAAGTATTGAATACAGCAAGAGCAGATCCATCACAGGGTTCGTATTGGTCTTTATAAGTCCTTATATTTGCAAATAAAAAATAAAGGCACTTAAGTCCCGTCTAAATGAAGCGATTTTTCTCGGCCGACTTTCTCGTAGAGCAACAATTTTAAGGATCTGCGCATGCACTAAAAATAGGTCATGTTCTCTGCCGCGATTTCAGAACTGATCACTGCTCACTAGCGTATGACAAAATCAGAATCTCTAGCCAATAAGATTGCTTTGAGTGATCACGTGCTTTTCTCCTCATTTGGAATATAAACATGGCTATATTTTGGAGCGAAACTCAAGTTTTTCAACTAATAGATTTCTATAGAGAAAAATGTGTTGTGGGGCGCGAGTAATGTAAATTTTAAAAATAAAAAATTAAGGGATTCTTCTATTTTGGCAAGCTTTGTCTTCCTTCCCCATTACTTTATATATTCAAATGTTTTCTATTCAGGCTGAAAATTATTTTAACTCCCCCAAGAAAAGTTCCAAAAGCTATTAATGATGCCATGTCATGGGTACTAGATGAAAATATTCAGAAACTACTTGAAACTGTGGTCACACTTATTGAAAAAATTCAGAAAGCAGAATCTCCAGTTGAGAAATTACGAGACGGATTTAAAGCAACGCAGAAACTCGTTGACTTCGCCGAAAATGCGAGTTAATCGCGTGATGAGTACATAGCTTTTCCGATGCCTCCTACACGAGCGATCATAGCTTAGTGGTAAAGAGCAGAACAAGTTAACTCCGGACATCGAGATCATGGGTTCGATCCCCCACCTTAATTTTTGACGTTTTGTGCCTGCAAGGACTTTTTAATTTCGCTTCTCCAACACTAAATTCAAACTGCATGACTTAAAAGTCGCTTTTTATTTTTTCACATACGAGTGTGGTGTTTATTGAATTTTAACACCTTTTTTTAAATTTTTCAAATGGCCTTTGGCACGTGTTTTAGATTTACTGGTGAAAACTTTAGTAGTTGCGTACCAGCTCAAAAGAACGTCACAAGTCCAGGGGGGTTTGTGCTCCGGGGAAACCCCAGAATTCCGGGGATTTTGAACTTCGATACCCGGAAATTCCGGGGATCGTCGTTCAAAAGGAAGTAGGAATAATAATGAATTATTTATTTTGATCTGGGTAATTTTGTTTGCTTTGAAAGCAGAAAACGCAAGGTCAGTGTGTGTGGTGAAAACTTTTCCTTTCTTTCTCCAAAGGCAGTGATAACGCATGAAAAGGGGGAAAAAACTTCTTTTTTGTTCTTTCCTTATTGCGAGTTATGACTCATTCCCCCCCCCCGGTTCTCGGACATTCTCTTCTGGATTCTTTTCGGCAAGTAGGCGCTGCAGGAAAAAAAGGGAGAGACTTCGTTCGACCAGGTGTGCGATCACGTGACTCTGGGTTCAGGTCTTATCTTTCCTGGCGTGGTGCCAATAAGTAGAGAAGGGGGATTTTTCACCATATTAGCTATTTGTCATTGATCGCTTCTCAACTTTTTTTTCTCCGTGTAAAATTTTCGTTTCATTTACTGATGCACGTGTAAATTTTTCGTTTCGTTTATTGAAATATTTTTTTATTTATGTACGCAAGAGAATTTCTCTATGAAATTTCTCGATATAAATAGTGATATTATACAATTAGAAGAAGGTGTCCGGAATGCATTTAGGTGGAATTGGATTGAACAGAGAGATGGTAATGGGAATACCATCGGCACATGGTGCAAGAAAATAAATGTTGCTGGACAAGCATATTGTGTTTTTTGTAACTCACTGCTGAAGTATGGTGGGGAAGGATTCAAGGCTTTCACAAATCATTCTAAAACTGTGACGCACATAAAATATTCAAAGTGCATTAGACATTCAATGACTTTAAGTAATTATGCTAATTCAAAAAAATACTGATGACTTACTGGAGACTGATGCTCGGCCATTGGATATAGTGACAAGAAAAGCACGCCAAGAGGTATTAATAACTTCGTTTATCGCCGAGAATTCTCTTTCTTTCAATGTAGCTCCCAATTTAATTGAACTCTGCAAACAGTTGAGCCGTAATCAGACGGCACTAAACTCGTTGGAAATGTCCAGGACTACTGCATGTTATAAGATGAAATATGGGCTCGCAAAAACTATTAAGGAAAATATCATTAAAACTTTAAA